GTTTGTTCGAGCGAGAATTCAGTTTCACAGGTCATCCAGTTTTTAAAACGGCAAAGGCGAAAAGGTGGGCCATTATTTGTTAGTAGCATCTTCATTCGAGGAAAATCGTATAAAGGTGTGCAATATAATCGGCCCTGTTCACCGGCGGTGGAATCATCAGAATTCCAATTTCGTTTTGCGTACACCAGGACAGGGAGACGAGGACCATTGAAAAGCGTCGTTTTCCGGAAGACCCTCTATATTTTCGTACCTGATCATTTGCGCTCGTAAAATTATAAAAGTTCGAACAGCCCCCCAATAAGTCTGTTTGCCCTGGATATTGGCGAACGTCCTCGATGAAGAGGGGTCCCGACAATTTTACGGCCCCCTCTTTTGTGCGAAACTAGAGCAATCCTCGTAATTTTAATTGCCGGTACTACTCTCGTTGCACGTTCCTCGTGTTCTCCAATTTACCTACGCTGTGCTTTCCCGAGGTGAAAGTCTAGGGCGTATATACAGAGTGTCCGATTTATATGTCAACGTGTCAATGTTTTCGGAATTGTATGAGTAGGAGAAAGTATTTTAGACGGTTGATGGAGATGTGGTGGAACAGCAGAGTGGTTTGAACAGCCCTGTGAACGAGACGCTGCAATTTCGAAATATAAATATTTTTAAATCATCGTTAGAACATTGTTCATTTGTGTTTAGCGTGTGTGGAAAGCTCTTTGATTTGAAGGCTTAAATTTTCGAAGCATATATTTTTTAAATACTTTTTTTCGCTTCTTTACTACTCACTCTGGATTTGACATGTCGACATGTTCCCTAATGCACGCACATCGTGTATATAGTAGTTGAGTATGAAAATAGCTTTGCAAAGAACAGTCAACCAATCAGTTTAAAATCTTCCAATAATTAAACATCTCAAAAGTAATTCAACATTGACCAGGAAAGTATGAATCAAAAGACACGAGTCCCCGTTGAAAAACTTAAATATGACCTTCGCTAAGTCCTCAAGATTATCGAAAGGCTAAACAAGTATCACGATATTTATCTCTATCACCTACATTTCCCAACATATTGACACGTTCCCAGATAAAACGAACACACTGTATACAACCCTCAGTGTCAACGCCGCGAGTTGAACAAAGACAACGACACCGGAGGCCAGAGCCGTGACCCTAACAACATTGCCCTGTAACTTTTAACATCAGGATTCGTGTACAGTGGAAGGTTCGACAACCCTACGGTCCGTTTTACTGCCAACGAAATATTGTCTAGTCGTTAGACTATTTTGGAGCATATTTTTAACAACCATCGTTCCGAATTTCCTACCTATCTATTACATACAGTCTGTAGGCACCGTCATTCTCGCAGGGGAATTTTTGTTTTCCCAGAATCATACATCCGGGTACGAAGCGAGAATAATCGACGTAGAGAGCCAGGGAACACGAGAAAGAGATCGTGTTACCATGTTAACCCGAACACCGTGGCAAACTGCCCTGGCTCTCTTCCCTTTCGCGTTGATCCACGAGCTCGTAGCAGGTATTCGAAAGGGTTACAAGCCTCATCTAATGCACAATGGCCAGCACCAGGTAAAGGCTAACGCTTTCACGTCGGCCAAGGGTTAAGTATCGTAATAATTGCCAATAATCTCGTCATTGTAAACAGTTTTTCCTCGTCTCTGACGGTCGACGGTGCATGCAGGAGACTAAAAAACATCCCTTTTCTGTTTGCACGCTTTATCTCAGCTGCTACGAGGATTGCATAATATTGTTATAGTAAAGAGATTTGGCGTATTTGCTAACCCTTCTGGAACTCTAGGGTAGGATTAAGAATATTCCGTTTCCTCTTTTTTTTTCTTTTTCTCTTTTTTTTGTGTGGACTTAGATATTTGTGGTGAGGGAAGAGAATTATTGGGGATGATAATTGTTCATCGATGTTGCACGGAATTATTGAAAAATTTGAGATTGCATAATGAAGATCAATGAGGTGCTGGAATTTATATGTATTGTTAGGTGAATCCCTTTTTTTCGACAATCCCGAAGTTTGCTCGCAATTTATATAAAAGGCACCCTATACCTGTGCACTTTTTCACAATATTTTGTCAGGCTCGTGTACAGAAGTACTCTGGCTGTGCTCAATCTTTTTTTGGCGTGCCACCCCTTCGATGGCCTCCTGATGCAGTATTTAAGAATTTTACCTCAGATAAAGGCTCTAGAATTGGATAATTTGTCGTTGCTTATAGACACGATGTTATATTTGTATCTATTGTATTAATGCTTTAGTATCAGAACTAATGATTGAGGAGTAGACGTATCTTTTGAGAAACAATTGAGTTATTTAATGGAAAAGGACACGCGTACCAAAGTACTCTTTCTTACTTTTCATCGGAGTATTTACTACTTAATAAAAGATATAGTATTTAAAGTGAATTTCTGAAGACAGATATACTTCTGTAACAATTTTAAAATATTTATATACCCTTTTCCCATCAATGGTTCCAGCTACTCCCACTGGTACCACATTGCGATATTTTATGTTTCCTATCTTATTTTCCCGCATTTTGTTTTATTTTAAAAAGACCATGTAAAATTTCTAAAATTAAACAAGGTGTAAGGGCTACATTTTTACAGTAATTAACCAACAAATACACGGAAAGGACCATATCGTTCCAGTGTAAAAAAATGAAACTCGACTTGATCGCGGGAGCATCCCCAAAACAATTTCTATTATCGCCTTTCAGCAGTCCCAGTACACGTATCTAAACATCCCGCCCAAAACTGATCTCAAAACTCAACGCCATACATCCACGAAAAAAAATATTTGAAAAATGCACACCAACTAGGAGGGAGAAAAATCTGTCGCTGCGCTAATTCACCGACCACGCATCGTGATTCCGTCTTTCAATCTCTCCGTGCTGATCTTTCGTCTCCCTTCCCATCTCCTGGTATCTCAGATCTCTGTCTCTATCCGCAGGACGACACGGACTGCAGAAGTGGGGATCGTGCCCTCGCGAGCGTCGTATCGAACACACTTATACGCCGGGCCGAGCATAAGTGCGCGCGTGCACACACCTGAAGGGCTGCGACTACACGAGGGCATTCTTCCTAGTTTTTTATCGTGCACGAGCGTGTGCGGCGGTCCCGTAAGTTTCTGGCTGCAGGCACGCGCAGCGCACGCCCGACACGGGGCAGGTGAGAGGAGGAGAACGCGCGAGAAGGAGAGAGAAAGCGTGTCTCGTAGTTTTCACTCTCGAGTGGGATAAAGAAGGAAAGGAAAAAACTCTACCCTGGGGGTTACGATGTTGGAACAGGACAAGAGGAGTGGGGGGTGTGTCGACAGAATTCGTTTTTCCGTAAAAAACAGTGGGAGCTCTGTGCTTTTTCGGCCATTGTGCCGTCGAACACGTAGCGCGTTATCGTTACACGGAAGTCGCGAACGACGAGAAATCCACGCGCAGTGCAGCCACGATACCGCGCCGCGGCCCGCGTAAATTGCATTGTTCGCCGCGCGAGTTTGATTCCGCGGACTGAAAGGGACACGATACCTGGGAAACGTGTAGAGGAAGCATGAACGAGCGAGTACCGAGAGATTTTTCTTTTGTTTTCCTTTTTATTTTTTACTTTTTATTTATTTATTTTTTTTTTATTTTTCTTTGGTTGGTTGATAATATCAGAGGACGATTGGACTAAGAAGAATATTTGTAAATGTAATTCGTACGATTTGGTTTCTGGGGAAATTGTATACTTGCCTCCGACACGCCGTATGAATAAACATGTATCGTGTCTGCACTCGTAATCAGTGGATGTGTCGTTCGATACATATTTAATGTCACGTGTAGTGTATCGTAGCGACAGCGAGCTTCAAAGGAGACGGGAGCAGTTCGTAGACACGGTACTTCGCGATGCGATCCTTATCGACCGCTGGTGAATTATTGAGAGCGGTGTTAAAGTCCCACGAAACCCGGACATAAGCATGCAGCGACACGGAGATTTACGAATCCGAACCGTAAGGCCACGATAAGACAGTTTGAACGGAAAAAAATGCTGTACGAAACGATTTCCTTCGCAAACTCCACCCTTTACGTTTCACCTAGTGACGCTGAAGCAAGAATATGCATTAAGAAAATGAGTATCGCGCCGAAAAAGAATCGCTTTTTGTAACAATCTTCCTTTACACTCTTCGCCTGATTTTTGTCGTTCCCTACACTCGTAAACGCCCCCCACCCTTAAAGATCACGGTCGCAGGTTCACTCTGTCTCGTTGTTTCTCGTTTGCTCTCTTCGGTTCCCTTTCTAACGCGCTTCATCTTCGTTTGTCTTCTCTACCCGAGTATCTTCTCTCTCGCGCTACCCTCAACGTCTTCCAGTCGATCCATCTTCGTCTAACGCGCGCCGCCACTCGCTTTATCCCCCTACGAGGCACGTTTCTGCAACTCGCGCATCCAGGGTTGCGATTCGAGAGGGTAGAGAAGCCTGGCGAGGGTGGGGATAAAGAGACGTAGTGGGGAGGCCGAAACCGAAGGGTGGGGGATGTTTGACTACAGTGAGCGCGACTCGATTGTCAGTTAGTATTGGGTTAGGTCAGCCCAGAGTAACGTCGTTGGTTGTCGTCGTTCTTCGTGGTCGGACGGCGACGTTTGTTGTTTATAGTAGAGTAGTAACACGTTTTTACGTACCTTGTTTCCTCTTCTGTTTTTTTTTTTTTTTTTTTTTGTTCATTTCTCTTCGCTTGCTTGGTTCCGCGGGACACGCGCCAGTTCCTCACAGGACGTCGACAGAGCCGCGAGTCATCAAGAAAAAATTCGTAATTCGTCACAAAGAGAATTCGGTGATCTCCGCGTGGTCTCCCGTCGATCGTTTTCCCGACAGAAGGAAGAGTTAGTCGCAGAAGCTTTGGAAACAGGAACACATCCGGAAGCGATATTCCGTTTCGTTCGACCACGCTGTTTGTGCAGTGCCGCTGTTTGTTAGGTTATACGTATACGCGCTCATCTGTATCTCGTTCCCTGCTATCGTCGGAAGTGATCGCATTGTGCAGAGAAGTGGATGGAGTGTCATAGTGAAAACACGCAGCACGGATCGTAGAATGGCACTGTCTTATCTTCAAGAGGCGCAGATTAACGCAGGTACGTTCCAACCGCCACTCGTGAACCCACCCACTTCAAATAGAACACCCATCGACGATTGCGTCGGACGTGTAACGCAATCGCGACTCGAACGTTTATTTCGTCTTTCTACGTCAGACAAACGGCTGATCCATAAATATGTATTTCGGTGAAGTTCGTCACACGCATCGCATCCGGTCGGAAACAAAAGGGACTCGCGGTTTCTCATGTCACATATGTTTTGACACACGAACTTCTCGTTGGTTTATCCGACGACCGATGACCCGATCGCATTATTTATCGCATTTCGCGAGATGAATTGTCGGCATGAAGACGAACGTGTAAGGTTTTCTAGTTTAGGGGACACGCTAGTGACACTGGCCCATCGCCAAAGTCTAAAAGCGCTCGTGGCGACACGCTCGTGTTGTGACACATTGTAAACATCGATAAGCCAGAAAGACGTGAAATTACTCGACGGAAGGGAGAGGATAGGGAAAACGAGAGTCGACGAGTTTCGCGGTTGCAACCGTCCGAAAATAGCAACGCTCCCGTGTGATTGCAACGAGAATGCTCGGAAACGCGAAGTGCGCGGCCGCTGACGTTCACCGCGATCACCGCGGTCGCGTTTTCTAGGTTATAAACAAAGCGCGACGTATATTTGGCGGTGGCGCGCGCGCAATTCATTCGCGCATTTGACTAACGTGGTTGGATTAGAAAATCGAATCGAGAATCGATTAACGAATGATGAATCGCGTGCATGGTTAATAGATAAACAGAAATTTCATAATATTCCATCGAATCTTTTCGATAATGTTCGATCCATTGGCAACGAATCGTGTAGCTTCTATTAAAAATGTTACAAGAAATGTATTTCTATAGGGATATGTAGCTACATCCATTTCCTAACGTTTGTATTGTCATCAAATACTATTTTACGCCAATTTTACTCTTTTACTCTTTTTATGTATCACATGTATAATATAATCTACAAAGCGTTTAAACTCAAACGACATCAAACTAATACAACTAACTAAAAGTACTAAGCTAAAAAGTACTGAAATATATGTAACCTAAAAAATTATTGTGTTCTGGTACCTTAGTATCAAACCGTATCGAAATCTTATTACTAGATATATCTCTCGAATATCACTAAAACTAACGTGTAGGCATAAAAATATGTATTTCAGTGGAAAGTTAGTCCTTTAATCGTAAAAGTTCGAGAACCTACGGGTCTCCCATTCGTTTTTGAATTCGCGTTCGGCGTACCGATAAAGAAGCCTCACGGCAGAGAAGAAATTTTTATTCGGACCTAAGGGAAAGGGATTCGGAACGGAATATTGGGGTTGCGACCAATTAGGGAAGGGATGCGAGCGGGGGCGGTACTCCTGGTCGTGTTGCCGGGAAACGGCGATTGTAGGCTGTAAGAATCTTAGGCCACGTTAAGGGAGTTTTAGGGTAGAGAAGAAAGAGAATAGATCTTACGCGCCCTTATTGATTCAACGGGTCTCATTACGGTCCCTCTTCTAAACGGTCCATTAATTAGTAAGTGGCGGGTGAGCATGGCCGGTTGATTCATTGTTTTCTTAAATTAAACTTCGCCTCATCTCGCATGTAGATTACGAGAGCCCCGTTAGAAGTGCCGAATAATTACAATTATCTTGAAAGACGATTTATCTTTCCCCGAACAAGTAGCAAGATCTTGCTGGGGAACGATCACTCTCAAATGTAAATGCATCGTCGAATTATTTCATCGTTATCATAATTCCCTTGCATCCGCTAATTTCGTAAAGAGAGCCTCTTATTAATTCAATTACCCCGTCGAGCCTCGTCGATCACGCGGATAAGCAATCATTGGAAGGTGTAACCCTAATACGAGGGTTGCTCTTTTTCGAGAAAGTTAAAATTATCCTCCATAACATTTTCTTTACCGAAATCACTCCATCCACAAAACGAACGAAAATCTCCACCTTGCTGAAAACAAAAAGGAAAAAGAACCAATTACCAGTTAATTCCCTAAGTTCCAGTATCACGTTTCCCAAACCAAATACCCCAAATTTGTTCCCAAAATTTATTGATCTACCGCGAATGTCTTCCATGAAAAAATTTCTTCCTTCTCCCCGAAAAAGCACGTGGAGAACTCCGCGGAATGCAGACACGGCTTGCACTTTCACAGAGTCGTTGGCCTCAAGTCGAAGAGAGGCGGGTACATCGCGGTGACGTGGGTGGGAAGTCGAGGCTTATGAATGAACCGTGCCGTACGAGAGTGTGAGTGAATGGAGGAGGACCGTGGTTCTCGCTCACGTGTGAGCAACGTGTGTGGGAGGGCTCCGAAAGAGAGACGAGGAGTAGTATAGCAGCGCACGGTGGTGCAAGCGAGATGAAAGACGCACGCGGGAGAAAAGATCGCCGTACCATTCCGTACACGTACAAACGCTCGTCCTTTTTCGCGCATCGTACGCGCGTCTCCCGTAGCCAACGGGCCACACGTCGCGATTTGTTGTGAAATGCGGCGCTATTCGTCAGAACGTCGGCTGAGTTGCGGAAATCTGTCTCAGAGAGATTTGATACTTTCTTCGTCTGCTTCATAGTAAGGTGGTCGCCAGACTTTTAGATACTCCTGTTTTATTCGCGGCACATTAATCTCTGAGAACTTGGAAAATTGTAGCTCTGGTACATTCTTCGGGTATTAGCGTCTTTCCAGAAATTGCAAGTTATTGAAATTAAAAATTGAATTTGTTTTTGTAATTAGAAGATATCTTTCATAATTTTTGTAGTACATATGTATTGGAGCTTGGTGGAAAGTATGATCGAGTAATGGATTGCAATTAATCAAATGCACTTAATAGAACGGAGTACATCTGTTAAAAATATTAAGGAAATTTCTTCTAGTGGTAGTGTAAATAATGGTACTATTTATTTTCATTTCTAAGTACGGTTTAGTTGTCTTTTACATGTGTAATTCCTTAGTATAGAACAAATTGTATTCGAAAGAAACCACCCACAGTGAACTTATATTCCTCTAAAAGCATCAAGGAATTTCTTTTATGTAGTCGATGAGTACTTATGAACAATTCAACCATCTCTAATATAGTAATTTTCCTGCATATGACGTATTGTAATTAGGAGAACCCAGCCTTAGTAAACCTACATGTATTCCTCTACTAAAAATACCAACGAAATTTCTTATGTACAAGTAATAATACTATTCACGTCAGTATTTAAGACCAGTTTGGTTCTCCTTAATATACCTAATTCCTAATTATGCAACTAATTACTATGCAAAGAGATCAGACTCACCTATTATGAGCCATGAAATTGAGAAATGTTAATTAACCTTCTTACATATAGTCGCTATAGGAACACTTTAACTATACCTAATATACGCGAAAAGACAGGAGTTAAACTTCCACTAAAAATCTAATCAATGATAATAAAAAGCACAGTTTCTTATATATCCAACATCAATCTTAATTCTTTCACCAGAAACGTAATTGATAATAACAGAATTTTTTTATTCCCTTATTCCAGGACTCTTAACCGGGCAACACCTCGATATGAAGCAAGAATCCGAGAAGCAGCCGCTCTCGCCGCCACTGAACAATAACACGTCGCAAGTGATGTTCCCTGGCATGGGTAGCACAGCGGCAGGCCTGTCTATGCTCACCCCGCAGCAATTACTCGCCGCCAGCAGAACGGCTGCACTGATGGCCGCGGGGATTCCCGTGTCACTACACGCGACTCTAGCCGCCAGCCCGTCTCTCTACAGACACCATCAGACCTTGTTCGGCAGCTGGGCTCCACCCACCGCGTCGTCGCCACCGTCGCCGCTTCATCACTCGCCCGGCCCTGTGTCGCCTGCGTTAAGCACCAAGTCCACGTCCCGCCGCGCCAACAACACGGTCACGAACAATAATAACAATAACAATAACGTGGTGAGCAGCAGCGGAGACAGGATCACGAAGAAGGGTCAGGCTGCTAAGAGGAAGACGCAGAAGTCGAAGGTGGATAGTGTGCAACCGTCGGTTGAAGGATCGGCACCGCTCAGTCCACCTACCTCGGTCAGCCCCGAGGCGGGCAAGGACGGCAGGGACAAGGTGTTCACCTGTGGAGTGTGCTCCAGATCGTTCGGGTACAAGCACGTGCTGCAGAACCACGAGCGCACGCATACCGGGGAGAAACCGTTCGAGTGTCCGGAATGTCACAAAAGGTGAGTCCAGAGAGTGAGACTGGTCCTTGTTGTACTTGGGTGTCGAGGTAGTTGACTCATACCGAGGAGTCTGGGGATATCTTGCGAGACGCATTAAAAGTTGCTTTTTTTTTGGAAGTTATTTTTTTGTTACGAAATTTTAGAGTATGAGAGTATTCTTTAGGGTTATAAAATCTATGAAAAAATGTAACTTTGATATGTTAATAAATGAAGGAACTCGAGGGATAGGATGTATAGTGATGAATTTTCTACTGGTGATCAGTGATTCTGGAATTAAAAGATCAGGGCTAAATAAAATTTAATATTCGTTAAATATTCAATATTAGAATGTTATAGTAATAATTTAAATTACGAAACGTACTATAATACGTATAAACAATTGTAGTTCGTAATATTAATCTGGGCAACCACGTTGACGCGTTCAGCATTGTGTGCGTCATCGATGACGCACGATAAGAATGAAAGATAAGGGTTTCATACTTACAAAAATCCAAGTGCCAATAACTAGGTAGTACAACTACTTTTCTCTAATCAAATATCTCAATGTAACTTTCTTGCTTGATCTTAAAGTTTTATCGAAAGTCTCGATCGTAGTACGACACCTAACATGTTAAATCAATGTTATCCAGGAACAAAACTTCTTTGCGTGGTTGTAGAAGTTGGTAGCTGAAGATTGGAAAACGAACGTGCTCGAGTTCGTATTTCTTGCAGATAACGTAGCATTAGTTAGCTTTTCCACAGTTTGATAAAGAGAGCTTCGGGGGTTAGGGAACTTTGGTCGCCACTGTAGTTCTGTCCGAATCGATTGGTTACTCGAAGCAATTCAGGAATAAATATCATCGTGAATTCCTTAACATTGTCGCTTCTTTACCCTATTTCTTCCTTTTGAGTCTACATTACGCCACTGTTGCTCATTCGAACAGTCGAGATGGAAATCTGTGGACATAAAACGGCAACTACAGATGAAAGACACATTAATATCCCTAAAATTTCATTGACACATCTATACTCCATGAACTTAGATTCTAGGATCAGATGCATCACCCCATGTAACCTACGTAATAATCCTTAGGTCCTTCATTAAGAAATGAGGCGTTGATAAAAATATCAGGCTATTTGAGAACTCTTATAATGATCTTAGAGAAGCTGAACTAAAGAAATCTTTGCTCTTTTACGTTACAGATTTACACGGGACCATCACCTCAAGACCCACATGCGTCTGCACACTGGTGAGAAACCGTACCACTGCAGCCACTGCGACCGCCAATTCGTGCAGGTAGCCAACCTACGCCGTCATTTGCGCGTGCACACAGGTGAGCGGCCGTACGCGTGTGAGCTGTGCGCCGCCAAGTTCAGCGACTCGAATCAGCTGAAGGCTCATCTGCTCATACACAAGGGCGAGAAACCATTCGAATGCGAGCACTGTCAGATGCGGTTCAGACGGAGGCATCACCTGATGCATCACAAATGTGGCACAGGGATGAACGCCTCTGGCCAAATCTCCAGATCTCAGGTCGCCTCCCCTTCACTGGCGAGCGACGACCTAGACGAGGACATCGACATAGACATCGACGTGGAGATGGAGGAACCAGATGCAACGTCGCTGATCAGCAGAAAAACGAACGCCTCTGTCAGACCAGCTCATCGTCAATTACCTAGTCCTGTCGTCAGCACCTCGATGCCCATGCCGCTGAATCTATCCGGAATCCCTGTGGATCTGCCGGAGCAGACGGAACCGGAAGACCTGTCCATGTCCACTGGTATGCACAGGCCCCACTCTCAGTCGAACAGCAGCGGCGACTCGCCTCTGAGCCGTAGCCCCAGCAGTGACACCATCCACGAGGAAGACGAGGAGGACCTGGACATGTCAGAGATGTCCAGTCCCAACATTTTCCTTCAGAACCACCGCAACAAATACGCGCATCACTTCGCATCCCTTGGAAACCCCGCCGCGGCTAATGTTGGCCATGCGTCCTAGTGGAGTCTTTAGGGGTACGTAGACATAGCTACGTAGAAAAGCCACCCTGTACTTTCACTCGGTTTGACGCGTCTACCCAGACAAAAAGCATTGCTCCAAGCAGTTTGGAGTGGTGGAAAGAAAAAAATAGGGAGGGGGGTGGAGAGAAGGAGAAAGATACGCAGTTTCTCGTTTATTTTGGGTAGCAAGGCGAATCGAGCCTGGGCAGGCTCACGAATCGAATTGAATCCTCACACTGAATCCTCCACGCACCGGTTCACAGTCACTATTGTTAAGATGCTTTTTATAGATATATATATTATATTATTATAGATAATTATTAATTATTATTGTACCTAGAGGAGACGAGAAAATGGGGAGAGATATAGAGGAAGCGAATTGGCGGGTCTGCGAGCATGCTGTGTAAAACGTGTAATTTAAATCGTGAACAAAACAAACATTCAGGGACGCGATTTTTTTGTCGAAAAAAGAAAATTGAATTGGTATTATATATATAAATATATATATA